TGTGTTGGATTTCAAAATTCAAGATGGCGGACCAATATATCAACCCGAAAATTTGAAATTTTGACTTATTTGAGTGAAAATCCGTATAGGGGAGATTTTGGATTTGTTGAGTATTAATATGCACTTATTTGTTCAAAATATTTCATTGAAATAAATCAAAATTAAACGTTTTTGGCCGCCATGTTGATTTTTAAAGTAAAAAAACAATTTTTCTTCTAAAGTATGATGTTTTGCCCCAAAACAAACACCTTCGAAAAGTAGCACCTTATAATTTGGTTGGATTTTCGCCAAATAACAAAACTATATCAAATTTTCGCATTTTTGGGCGGCTACATTGGATCCGCCATTACAAATTTTGAAAAAATAAGTGTATATTTATACTCAGCGAACCCCAAATCCTCCCTATACAGATTTTCACTCAAATAGCTCAAAATTTCAAATTTTCGGACCGATATATTGGTCCGCCATCTTGAATTTTGAAATCTAACACAAATTTTTTTTCACTTTTTAACAAATTTCGACGTTTTGCCCAAATTTAGACTTTTGAAAGCCTATTCTTAGCGGTTTTCTCTTGGGCCTTAATGGGTTAAATCAATCTGTGTGTGTGTGTGTATGTATGTATGAGTGTGTGTGAATTCAGAATACAATAACCAGACAGTCTAGTGAGAAATGAATGAACTTTAATTTCAAAGTAATCAAACAAGTTTGGTATTACAATAATAAAATAATATTCACCTTTCTTATTAGATATTTTATTAATTTTTTAACTTAAAAGAGCTTCTTTTAAGGTGTTAGAAGGTTGTTTTCCTCAAAATGTTAATGTCAATGTCAATAGTTGTCGCCTGAAACTTGTCCCATGCGAGATATTCGGATTTTTATTCAGAGCTGGATCTAAATTTTTCTGCTAAATTATATCGTAAATGGTACAGAATTTCTTAACACACACGCATACGTTTTATACGCGAGAGTCAACGAGAATTCATTCCGTATCTGTCGCAATACTTCATCGATGTCAACGACCATCGGCGATTTACTGTGCACGCGCATGCATGAAATCATTTTTAATGACGTCCGTTGCAATTTTGCATCGGAATGTCTTCCTAAGAAAGACATCTGTTGTGTGCAGTTAGTTCAGCGAAATTTATTATTCGTGACTTCATCGTCCCTTCATCGGCTGTATTCGGCGCTACGTCCTAGTATTATTTCCGTTCGTTGCGTAGCTTCGTATATATCGTCTCTTGATTCGAGTTACAGTGAAGTAAAAATAACAGCTGATTAGGATCCACTCTTTGTGTGCGCATTGTGTTTCTCCACGCTCTCGTCGAACTCTCCAGTCGGTGTTGAATGCGATTTCAGTATTTTCACGACGTTCTGTTCGTTGAAAGTGCATTATTTGTTTCCCTCGGGGTTTACGTGTATATATAATTCTGCACACGAACGATCTTCTTCTTCGTACTTTTATCGCGCCTAGGAATGTTGTTACGAAACGACATCTCAAAGAGTCTCTTCCGAGAGCGAACTTCTGCGAGTTAAACGCGCCTTCCTTTCCGAGACGACGCCAACTCGGCAATTTCCACGGAAGAGTTCTTGCCGTAGATTCCGCCGCTTGTTCCCCGATCGAGGGGTGAACGGTAGCCTCATGTTCATGGAACATTCGCGGGGCGCTTAAGGGAAAAATGCGAGCTATTTCTGATACGGAGTAACATCCGCTCTGGTAGATGAATGCTAAAAAGCTCGACAGGTCGATGCACAAGGCTCTTCTTTGAGAAGACAACTTCTTAGCTTGTAGGAAACAGCAAGAATAATGTAACGATCCAGAAGATATAAATGCAATAAAAATGAACGATTTTGTTTACTCATCGGTGATCTAGTTGAATGATTCGTTTCGCAACTAACTTCTGTTTTTACAAGAATTCACGCTGCTGATGTTGCGAGATACTCATTTAAATAGAACCTAATCAATAAAATTGACGAAATGAGCGGTAAAATACCGCGAAAACATCGAATTGTTTGTTCTCTCGATGAAATTGAGGAAGGATGCAATACTTGAAAACATTACTGACAAAATACTGGCTTTTTTCTGCAAAAATTATGTCATATTAGTTGCACAGAGAGTTACGAATGCTTTTATATAACGAAGATACGCGCAGAAATAAAACGAGTATATCATTAACTGTCAGATACTGTATATACAATATATAGGTATATTTTTATACGTTAAAAGTTAAAATATTTAGAGACCACAAAACAATAAAAGATTAGATACATGCTCGGACATTAGTACTTTTATCTTACATATTCCTATTTTATATAACATTTGAAGCTCTCGTAGAGGCATAATAGAATTGAGGTGAACATAAAAGTTCCATACTATTTTGTGATATTCGCAATAATTATCGAGATATTAATTAAAGAAGATTTGTAAATGATCACGCGAAATATGGTAGATGACTATTTAATACATTAAAATCATTCCAAAGTCACGCACCACGTTAACCAAGCATTCACGTATTTGCATGCCATTTAATCTCAGTATATGTATTATGTAAGATCTACATGTACAAAAAATAGTAGAAAAGAATAATATGATGGTGTGATTGCCTCTCGTTTTCGACATTCTTAGAATTTGTCATACACTTTGGCATTCCCTTATTGGCTACGTTCCGCGCTTACTACCGTTAGTGTACTACCGTTGTCCGGTGATTCATTCGTTACGTGCAGCAGGAAAAATCTAGAAATGAATTATCACTTGCAAACCTGGAAATTAATTTTCCGCCACACTTCTCTTTTGTCGGCAAAATGTACTGTTTGCACCTGGACGCGACGATAGATGTGCGCTTAGTCTCGCGCAACGTCTGCCGTTAAGTGGCGTTTAATGCGTTAACTGCTGCGACACGACGCGTCTTTGTTCCAGCGCCATCCATTATCTTGCACGACGGCCAACGTGTGACAGAAGCGTCACACAGTGTCGAGCATTGAATGGTCGCGATATCGCTCGCGATTGCTGGCTCAGTCGCGATCGAAGAATGGTAAAAAGGACAGAACTACCACGCTGTCCTTGCGCCATCATTGGCATCGTGAGCGCGCGCGCGCGCGCGCGACGAAGCTACATTATATTAAATGTTTATGTATGACGTGGTGAACGGCTTTGTCCGCCAATACACAGGTCGGCTAATGGAACGGCGACATGTAACGCGATAAGAAAGCCGTGAGTTCTGGCACAAAGGAGGAAAGCGGCCGCTACTACCTCTCTCAATGCCGGTAGAGATATTATCTCCATTCGTTGTAAGAATAGCTGGATAACGAGCGAATTATAAAAAATTTGAGCGACATTGCTATTGTCGGCATTGTGCTCGAGAACGTCATTACTAATCCTATGGTGATTACCGGCATTCCTAAACAGGAAGACATGTTGAAAGTAATATTGATTATTCGCGCTAATGGCGCGATATTAATTACGCGGGAGCATTAACCGCAGAACGCGCATTTCTTCTCTTCAAGTATGGCATACTCGGCTGTTCTGTTTTCAAAGTTTTCAATTTTGAAATTCAGCTATCTGTGATTTATCTGATAAGAACCGTTTGAGTAGAGGTTCCTCCTACCTATGATTCAAAGCATGATGTCAATCGTACAAAGATTTCGAGACAGTAAACAGTGCAAAAGTGTTGTAGATATTGCATATTCAAGTGTGATGTTAACATAACTTTTTCGTCGTGTGGCCAACGAAAGTAATAATAAATGTTCTCTTACTTATTGTATCTTACTTACTCTTTCTTACTTATTGTGAGTATATATATATATATATATTTTTTTTTTTTTTATTATATGAGTAAATGTATATTTAACTTTATTGATGTAAAATATTTATTTGTCATGAAAAATGATATTTCTTATATTTAATACTTTTACATTTCTATAGTGAGTTTTTATCCAGAAGAGAAGAGAAAATAGAAATAAACATTTTTTTAATACAGAATAGTATTTTATCAACTAGAAATTGCCATTGTTATACTTTTTAGGAAACACAATAATGTCGTATTTTCTCTTCTTAAAGTTCAAAGTTTGTACTTTCCGAAATGCTTATTGAAAATATTTTTTAGTACAATGTATGAAAAATTGGAATTAAAAAAAAAAATAATCTTTCTCGAAACTTGTATTGATTTTATTATTTATAACTTTTCTATTAACAGTTCTATTTACAGTTCTATTAACAGTTTGCTTTCGTCACCGTTATATTGCTGAACGTCTATTATATTGAATGAGAAGATAACATTTAAAAAATGTAAAAAAATGTTAATTTTTACTAATGTTATTGAAAGATAAGATTGACTCGCGGATATGTCATGTATGACATTCTAAGGTTAGGCGAAAAAAAATTGCGAAATTCTCAAGAAACATTGGAAACGTTTCTGCGCGGCCGAAATGTGGACGTAATTCACATAATTTGAGGGAAGATTAGAAATCATAAAAGATATATACGCCGATCGATTCCTGGAGATTGAATTCTGCGAAAAGAAGTATTGCTTAAAGCGGCTCTAGAAAAACGAGAAATTGTAGATTCGACGGAAACGGTAATCGTGATAAAGTATTACTTGGTCTCGGCGATCCGCGGAAGTCAAGGCCGGGGATAATAGATCCATCATCGAGAAGATGATAATCCAGTCGGCGCATTAGCGGTCTCTTTAACCGCAATTAGTATTAACCGCGAGTAAATCTCGAGTCCCCTGTTACTTTACGATACGACTCGAGCGGAATGGCAAATCTATTAATTTGATCCACGTTCTTCGCGGTTGAAGTACGATGATGGGACGGCGGGGAGTAGCAGTCGACGCTTTCGAGAATATCTTACGAAACAGCGCATTTCTATATGCTTCAAATGTAGATGACGAACTGCGATTAACATTAGAAAGCGCGCGGCTTAAAGTACACCTATGTATGTACACGCGTCGCGCGGGCCGGGTATTACTTAAACATAGATTTGGAAAATGTAACTCACTGACCTACATCCACCATATGCTGAAGAGTCGGGAAACGCCTCTTGACGCGAAGCGAAATCCTCTGCAGTGTAATGACGTACGCGAGCACGGCATACCTCACGATGTTGCGCCTCATCAGCCGCCCCCGTTCGTCCTGAAACAGAAATGAACGCACGTCGGTTACAAGTACGGTTACAAGTACACAGAGAGAGGATATTACAGTTCGTTTTTTCATGCGAGTACTTTTCAATTTTACTTGAAAATACGCATCTAGCAGTGCAGAAATAGACTGTCAGATTTATCTTGCTAATTGGAATAGAACTGTAAGATCTGTTTTACTGAAAGGCATGGTAAATTTCACTGAGGACATGACAAATGCTTGAAAAGTATATTTCAGTTTCTAAAAAATAAATAATCAAATTAATACAATTATTTTGTCATATATAACTAACGATATTGATATTCTTATTTATGAGAAAATGATTGTATTAATTTGTATTAATATTCGTCTTCATTGAAGACTAATAATATATAACCAAGAATATTAATATTATAATATTCTATGAGAAAATAATTGTGTTAATTTGTCTAAATTGAAGAATTTGTCTTCGTTTATACATAATTTCATTTTAACATTAACCTTATTTTTAAAATGTCAACGACATTCTCCAAACAAAAATATCCTTTTCTCTGTGTTGCAACATAGACCTTAGACCTTAATTAGGACAGTCTATTTCTGCATTATTAGAAACATAGCAAAAGAACTTATATATATATATATAAAATAAAAACTATAAAACATTCTTTCCGTGCGTTGTAATGTTTACTATAAGATTTTCTCCGTGTAGATCTCGCGATAGGAATTTCTTGGTGAATCCGGAACAAGTGCTTGTCGTATTTTTACTTCGATTTTAATGGACATTTAAAGCGTCGCGAATGCGGAGTACAGAATCGAGTACAGAATTGGCGAGAACGGCGCTGACTTCAAAATTCGTTTCCAAAGCCGATCGAATGCCAGACACGTTTCCTCACGTCTCATGCACACTTTCCCCTTGTTCTCTTGGCCCGGCGTTACGAGCGTCGGCATGAATCGCCGTCGGCTCGAAACTGTTCCAGTATTAATCGGAGAAAAACCGGCGGTGGCGCCTGCCGGCCATTTTTCCTTTCGTTCTTGGACGCGCACTTTTGTAACCGATCGCGCGTTTTGTAATCCGTCGACAGTCGGCGAATTGCTTGGCGGAATGTCAATTTGATCGGAAATGAACATCGGTGGTTGACGACGTTCGCGACATTGAGATCCAGTAAATACTCGCATTGCCGTGACGTTAAAAAAAAAATTAGCGATTAATTATTAAAGAAGGAAAACAGATTGTGGATGAGGAAAAATTTCACGGCGCGTCAAATAAGAGAACGCGTCAATTCTCAGAAAAGCGCCACGTGGATTTATATGCACGGCACTTGAAAGTTCTGACACGTTGTTGCAGATTCTAAAGACCAACGTGAAAAGATAATTGTGCATGTCTCGAGTCGCAATTTCATCGTTGAATTGATTAAGTTCAAGTCGGACGATCCGATCGCCGCCTCGTCGTCGTAGGTGGTAGTTTTGAAACGTATCGTTACGTATGTGGGACGCGACGAATTAAGATAAAGCATTTTGTAGATCGAGGCACGTATCCCGCGACATAATGTATGCTACGGCGAAAGAAAGTCGTCGGGATGCAAATTTTCGGGTAATTCATAACACGTATGCAACTGACGTTGCGCGACTTAAAAGTTCAGGACGATCTGCACGAGATCTCGAGTGCTATCACCGACGGAGAAAATTGTAGCACGTCGCAGAGTAAAACGCGTAGCGATGCTAATGCCTGATCGACGACGAATTGCGAATCAATTGCGAAAGCGGTCGGGGTTATCTACTGCGACGGAGAAGTCTCTTTTCTCGCAATGACCGGAGGCGAGCCGTGAGTTTCTAGTCAATATTAAATATTGATTAAATATTGATTAAAATTTTATTCGACTAAAACAATCAGTAGACAAAATTAATCAATCGTCATATATACACAAACTTATGGTAAAAATTACTTGAAAAATTATGTTCACTGAGAGAAATTATCTGATAAAAAATTAACAAACAGATGTTTCCGGTCAAATTTTCGGTCAATTTTTATATCCGATTAAATTTTATCAAATACTTCCGATCATAGTGGCATTTCGTCAGATAAACCAATCAAAAAATTATGAACTAATATTTCTTATCGGCGGAATCATCGGATATTTTCTGATCCAATATTTGGATATTTCGGATACAAAAATTCATCGGTATTTTGATCGGAAATATCCATTTGTAAATTTTTTATCGGATAATTTCCCTCAATATAGATTTTTACAATACTATTCATAAAGATGGATTGTACAGACTTTATAGTATGAATTACTACAGAAATAGTAAATTTAACGAGTTACCAAATATCAGAAAATATTGTTGCGCTCTAACTTACTGCACCAGTGTACACTAATTCAGAAAGTTCTTCGTAAAAGAACAGGTCTAATAATTTAACCACGTATCAATTAATTTTTGCTGAGATCGTCCTAGATTCTAGTAGACGAAAAAAACGTGGGATTTCTGGTGTTATTAGAGGTATCTCTACTTTCGGAATTTGATATAATAATTAATGAATAATTATTGATTAATAACTAGTTTTACCAATCGATGAAATTATTTGCGATTTTATATATAACAGCTGATCAATTTTGATTATTGATTTGCCGATCATTTTAATTGAAAATTTTAAACAATTAATATCCAACGCTTTCGAGTCGATATTTTATGCACTACACATAATTGTGTCCACTTCTCCACAGAAGTTCCTTGCATTCTACGTTTACGGCGGTAATGAGCTATAAAGCAGCTCGGGCACGTAGAGTTCTCATAAAGGATTACGCCAATCATTATCGATCGCAGTCGCGTCGAGAAATATATTTAAATTCTACTTTGTCCTTTTAGTGAGATACTCAAGTCCCCTTGGTGGCATAGTAAATACAGAAATAACAGCAAAATCAATATTTTGAAACAGCGGCGACGTTCGTTTCTTTGCTTCTCCTTCTCGTTTTCCCTTTTCTTGAAACCATTCCTTTCTCTCTCCATATTTCCGACCTTTCCGAATCGAGTCGTTGTTTCGACGTTTCGGAATCATCTTCTCAATGGCCTCTCGCGTCTCCTTCGCACACAGGAGACGAGATAACCCTCTCGTTCGAAATTCCGCGACTTACCTGTCGCGCGTGTAAAAATGCCCGTCTTGGAAACGACGCTCTTCGTCGCGCGGGGAGTCGCGAGGGGTGGAGGCAAAGGCTCGCGGCCGAACACCGACCGTCTTGTGTCTCAGGGCCTGCATTCCAATTGGATTTCAATGAAAGGTGCAGCCCAGAAACTCGCAATGACCACTGCGACGCCGCTCATTCACAAATCGGACACTTGTATTACGCGATTACATGACCACGGGTGCACGCGTATAACCGTGGGCTCGTTCGCGGCTGGAGGACCTTGTCCCCTACCTACGTGCAAAAATTCCATCGGAACACGCCGTTCCTAGAGATCCGTCGCGTCGCAAGCGCGCACGCATACGCTTTACGCTGCGCTTCGCGAATCGAAAGTTCACGCACGGAAACGCGTCTAACCGAGTAATACGGTAACTCACGCCCGTAAGGGTGTGCAACATAGACATATAATGCATACAGAGTGTCCCAAACCTCCATAATGACCCTGAGTGAGAACGTAGAACAGATTGAGGTGAGCAAGAAAGTCCTGTGCCGTTTTGCGATATTCGCAATAATAGTCGAGATATTAATTAAGAAAGATTGGTGAATAATCACGCGCAATATAGTAGATGAGCTGCAGTGGCGCCGTCTATCGTTGTATACTTATACATTAAGTCAAACTGAACAAAAAAAAGTCCCTTACCATTTTATAAATTATACTATATAGATTTTTAGATATTAATTAAAGAAAATTTATGCATTATGATATACAATCATATATGTAACAATTTTCTTGAATATTTAAAAATTTATGTGGTCATTTGCAAAATGGTAAAGGAGTTTTTTGTTCAGTTTGACTTAATATATAAATATACAACGGCAGACAACCCCACTGCAGCTCATCTACCATATCGCGCGTGATCATTCACCAATCTTCTTTAATTAATATCTCGACTATTATTGCGAAAAATGGCACAGTATTTTCTTGCTCACCTCAGTGAGCATCTTCAACGTTCTCACCAAGGGTCATCATGGAGGTTCGGGACACCCTGTAGACTGCGCGTTCCCTATCTTTCCCATTATGAAAAAGCGTCCGAAAATTAGAAAGAGCAAAACCCTATTCTATCTTTGTCATAAAACGTGGTGAGGGAGAAGCGAGTGGTCTTTGATTGGTGGAACAGATACTGACAAGTAACACTACCCAAGTGCCACACGCCGATCTTCTTGAAACTTTGCACACATATAGTACATCGAAAAACATTAGACACGTATTTTTTTATTCTGGCTAACAAGGCATTTTAAGGTTAGAAAATGCATTCGAAATTTTAACATTTTATAGCACAATGATAACTAACGCTACTCCTGAGCGTCATTCTTTTACAGCTTGATTGATATAACTGATGAACCTCTAGATTGATATAACTGATGCCAAAATCGTAATCATGGGTCTAAAAAACTTCTTCAAAACTAAATAAAGTCTTTGAATAAGGACTTTATTCTTTGAATAAAAAATAA